GAACCGCATGAACATTTTAGCTGGTATACGCCAGGGTCTGTGTTTAGTAGTAGTTTAGTTTTATTGTTGCAGAAAATATTTTTTAAATTGTTAGTTGATGTGAAAATAACCTTTATGTTTTGTTTTCGAAATTCTTTACAAAGTTTTGGACCAACAATTGGTATCCAAGGTAGTTTTATAAAGGGTTGGGTATCTATTTGTTGAAATGTGGTGTTTTTTAAACCATTTTAAATAGTCTATAGTAATATTATTTAGAATGTTCTTGTCGTGGTCATTTTAATTCCACATTTTGCATAATATTGCAGTAGTTGTAGACAGTTAAAATATGATTACTCTCAAAATTTGAGAGGTTTTGGATTAAGAATTGCTTGCGGTTTTAATTTTTAAGAATTGTTGGATTATGTAAAAAAAACAACTTAAAAAACGCTATATGCAAAACTTGACGTTTTAACTATGTTCATATTTAAATGTTTTTCAATACTATTTGCTTTGCTGAATGATTTAAGTTTATAATAATTTATAACAATTAAGCTGAATTTATTACAACTTGTTAACTATTTGAAGATTTAAATAGTGAAACTCTTATTCTTATATTTACATAAGAATATCAAAATAAAGATTATTTTCACAATTTAGAACATTTTGACCATGGATATATATTTTTAGGAAAATGTTTTCAATTAAAAAATATCATCATAAGAATGGGAATAATGCCTTTTTGAAATATATGGTCTACGCATCTTCCTGCTAAGTAGTTTTACCGTTCGCTCAACATTCTGGGAGTGAGATTGAAAGTCGGGCATTTTAGGTTTAACATTATTGTCAATCGTATATTGGATTTGCTCAATTGAAAAATGTTGTGTTGTTAGGGGTCCGTAAATTTAGTAATGCTGATGTCTACCGACTCATACCAATGATTAGCATTAAAATTAGTTTCTGAAATTTTTTTTAAATTTACTTCCAAACTTTTGTTGTTTACTCTATAACAACCTGAACAATAAAACATACAAGTTTTTTTAAAGAAATAGTTAGTTGATTGTCTCTAGTATACAAACAGAGAAGGCAAATAGCTAGAGTTAACCACCTTGCATGGTTATTCGGTCCAATTTTATAGGCGGCCCATTTATCAGAAACTTTACCAAAGCCTATTCCTTTGCAATATTCAAATAAAAGTCATTGATCGCAACTAAGGTCTACTAGTATTTCTTCTGGAATATATCCATCTGCAATTGGGTTTTCAATAAGATCAAACAAAACTTGATTTCTATCCTGAATATTTTCAGCACATCTTTTGCCAAGTAGACCACTAAAGCTTCTTGGCCCAGTTGTTTACAAAAAGAGCTTGTAATGGAAGTTCATTTTGATGTAATGCGCATCCAATTAGATGTAGTTTTCTTTTTAAAAACTCTTTTAGTTTTACCACTAAGTCACTTATTGGTAGCAGTATTATCAAGAAGAACGGCTTGTATACTTTCCAAACTATTATGTTCTTGTAAAACACTAAACGTTTTGGTAGCAAGAACTAAACCTGTAGCACCAGTGATAGGAATCGCTCTGAGTCAAATAATTTCCACTCAATTTTCCATCTTCATAAGTAAATGTGAGGTGATGTGAGGTGATGTTCAGGTTCAATGCATTTCTTTAGTACTTTTACTTGAGGTAAGTTTATTACTTTACTTGTTTTAGTTATTTGACTGAGCTTGCTGTCAACTCCAAGACAAATTAACTGTTTTGAGTCCACTTTTAACGATTTTTACTTTTGACTTGGCCCTATCTAACTTGCAATTGTCAATCAAAATATCTTTAATATCAAATTCATTTTTCAAGAGATGTTTTATGTCATGTAGTAAAGCATTTGCAAGGACTGCACCTACAATTGACAAACACTCAATTCTGACTAATTCCATTGCAAATCTTGGAAGTTTAACTAAGTTGTATTTTCTGATAGGGTTATTAATTGGTTTCCATTCACCTTCATTCTAAAAATAGTTATTAAAATAAAATGCTTTCTGTTTCATCTGTTATAAATACTTCACGTATTTAAAATATTTACCTCCGTATTGGTAAAACCACTTGTTTCTTCAGTTAAGTTTATTTGTGCTATGAGGGATTCATCTTCATTAACTAGCTTATGAGATATTTTTTGTCGTTCTTTATCAAGTCTTTGAATCCTTTTGACAGATAATCTATCAACGGAAGAAAGTTGAAATGCACCTTTTGGACCAATTTTTTTCCTCTGATCACAACGATAAGCTCTGTCTTCCAGAGGTACTTTATTACTTTGAACAAAGGCGTACAATATGTTCTTCGATGCAATTTTCTTTATTACATGAAACTTTTCTGTCACTACAGGGAAACACATCTAATGAACAGGAACATGCAGAAATGTCAAAAGGTTTGTCCAAGTTTGAATCAAGATTTCTTTTGCTTTTCTGTGCTTGCGATTAATATCCTTAACAAGTACGAGAAGATCTTTAACTTTTCTATTAATAGATTTGTCATTTATAAGAAGTAATCTTGGGTTTACTGGAGCCCAAATTGATTTTATATTATTGTTAATTTGCTGAGTCACTAATACGATATCTGCATTTGGATTTATATGAATAAGATAGTAAAAATACTGAATAACCTAAAAGTGGAAAGTCTAAAAGTGCTTGGATCTGTCGTTGATAGTTCACATGGGCCGCCACAATATTATTTTTCACTTTTCATCCGTGTAATTGCAACCTTTACTTTCGGCATTTTTGTAGATTAATTAAATATGTAAACTGTATTAAAGTATAACACTTAGAGTAATGGGCGTGAGTTTTTAGTGGGGGACAAAGCATCAAAAAACCTAAAATATCAAAACTTACTATTAAAAACCTGCTTTGATAAAAAATAAAGAAATAAAACTCTATTAAAAAGATTTGGGGGCCATGAATTCAGGAAACTCAGGAATTGAGTAAAACCATTAGTTCCTGCGACTAAATTAAGTAAAACCATCGAAAAGTTTTTTATTTTAATCTACTTCAGAAATTGCAATTCAAAACTTATGCAATATAAACAGGTTAAAACATTACTCTAGATAAAATAATCATAAGTATTTACCTTTGATATTAAACGATTTCTTTAAATAGCAGTTTTATTTTTGAACCTACTTTTAAAAAAGTTTAATTTTAAAATCAACTTTAAAATACAAACAAGAAATTTAAATACAAAAAAGATTTGCAAAGTTTAAATGCATGTAAACAATTTAGCAAAACCTTATTGGCTTCTTAAAACAATTGTGCTTTTTAAGAAAGTTTATTGGTTACTTTATAAATTCAAAACAAGATATTTTGAAACGAGATTACTAGACTTAAAATAAAATTTTGCAACGTTTGAAATTAACAATCTAACAAAACTTGTCCAAAATTAAGACTTAAAATGCAAATCCGCAAGTCATTTTTAAATAAGGATACTTGAGATTTGGCAAAACCTCATTTCTAACCTAGACTCAGTAACTGCAACATTACGCAACTCAAAATTCAAAAAAAAAACTAAAATCGACCTACCCTAAGATATATATATATATATTATATATATATATATATATATATATATATATATATATATATATATATATATATATATATATATATATATATATATATATATATATATATATATATATATTTAGGCCTCAATGGGAGTAAATGAGTGAAAGACCAATAAAAAGCACTCCTTAATTTTTTTTTTTTTTTTTTATGAATTATCTTCGCTTCCAACAAGGCTGCAAGCAACCACTAATTAGTGTTGGAAGTTACTGGAAGAGAAAAGATGAAGATTGGAGAGCAAGATAACGATTGACAGACGACTTAAAAGATTGCAAGTTATATGAATCAGGAAAGCAAGATGAAGGAAGTGAATTCCAAAGAACTGATGGTCGAGGAAAAAAAATAGACGAATAAGAGTTTTTGGAACACTTAGGAACAGTAACAGAAAAAAGATGAGACTTGATTGAATGACGAGTAACACGAGAATGAATTTTAGTAGATGGCACAAGAGACGCTAGCTCCTTCGAGCAGTGCCCATTATAGTATTTGTAGAAAAGAGAAAGAGAAGCAACATTACGACGATGTGACAGAGGTTGAAGGTTGGCTGCAAGAGCAGGTCTAACTATATTTACAATGCGTTTTTGCACCTTGTCTAAAAGAGACAGGGCATCATTAGAAGATCCGCCCCAGATATGGAAACAGTATTCCATACAAGGCCGGATTTGAGATTTATAGAGATAGAGAATAGAATCCAAAGTAAGAAAGTGACGAGCTCGATAAAGAGAAGTAACTTTAGCAGATGCTAATTTTGCAACGGATTTGATGTAAGGTTTCCAAAAAAGCAAAAATTGAATGCAGTTCAATCAACTCCTTTTTACAAGAACTTTTGGATTATGCGTGAGCTATCTGTTTATTCGTTAAAAAAGTGTTTGTTATATACAAAATTTGATTTTTTTACTTATTACAAGTATATGCTTGTAATGTTTATGTTACAAGAATATATACACAACAAGAATTGTTCATCATGAAGTGAAAAATATTTTTTGCAATAACTATTTCTTTAAAAAAGCAATGCAGTTTATTATGCAATTATTGGTTTATTTCAAAAATGACTTTTGTATTTTTTATCTTAGTTACTACGATAATGGTTTTTTTTATAAACAACTCTGCAAACTTGACCATATTCTCAATAATGTTATAGTTGTTTTGACTGTTATGCAAAAAAAAAGCAAAATAAAAATACAAAATAAGTTGTCAATCTAAAACTTGCACTTTGTCTTTTTTATTCAATATAGTTTGCAAAAGAATTTTTAATTTTTTTAATTATTATCTAATAAAAGAAAGCAAAAAAATAAAGTTATTCATATTCATGAAAAAAAAATACTTTTGCAAGAGTCATAGACTTAATTACATATACATATATAGATATAAATTCATTCAAATTGTTTTTTTGTGTAAATAGTTTTGTAAAATTTTTTTTAGTTGACCAGACCTGCTCAAGATTTGTTAATGTCTGTTGCTTTAAACTGTAATACACATTCGCTAATAGATATTGAGGTTATCGGAAATCTCATTCGTATGCGATTGAAACAGAAACCACTTGTCAACCATTATATTTTATGCATAAAGTATATTTTTGATTTTTTAACTAGTATATTGTGTAATTATTACTAACTAAATAGCCAACAAATGTTTTTAAAAATTTAGTCTTGAATTTTTGTAAATTGTTTTTTTTTTTTTACAGAGAGTTATTAACACAACATCCTGATAACTTAGGAACTGTGATGAAGCATATTGTTTACAATGAACTCAGTCAACAAAGAAATCCAAACAATATGAGTCTTCTTAATGTTATTTTTTCTTGTGAACCTGAAAAATCTGCTCAGGTATTTCATTCTTCAATAATCATTTTTTTAAATTTGTATGTCTGAAAGTAAAAGTGTTTAATTTTGTGACTGTCTGTCCATTTTAGTATTTATCAACTGTTTTCCTGGAACTACTATGCAACAGGTTAGTATGTTGTTTGAGTATTTGCAATTTTTTTATGTTTGATCACTTTCAGGTGTTTAGGTCAGGAGAGTGGTACAATTAAAGTAAACACAGACATCAGTTCCAATGTTTGAGACATTTTTATTTCAAACTGATATTTTATTTAATTAATTTTTAAAATAACTTTATTGTACACCAAAACTTGTTATAAATGCAGTATGTATGTATTTAATATTTAAATGTAGTATGTGTTTGTTTAATATTTTGAGATTAAAAAATCTTTTTACCTTCTAAGATTTATTTGATTGCAATATTGGTAAAAATTAGGCAGCCGAAAAGACAAAAAGTAGTATTTTTTTACATTATTGCAACTCATTGGAGTATAAATATCATCTAATATCATATTTATATTACATTGGATCAATATTTGTAGTACATTAATTATTACCAGTAAATAACTGAGTTTTGTTAGGATTAAAATTCACCAGCCTCAATTCACTCTTAGCTCTAAACATACTTCTTGTCACAGATGAGAGATCACATTTAATTTTAATGTCTAAGATTATTTTTCTGAAATTAAATTATCTAAAAACTTTGGCGTATAAAATTTGCAGAGAGGTCATGCAAGAGCAGTGAATGCTTGAGGGAAGAAATGAAGTACATTAGAATAAAGGAGAACTATTTTTCGAACAAAGCATATTTTGACAGTTGTCAAGACAAAAAAAAAGATTAATAGAGGAATATTTATTAATTTTTATTATTTTATAAACACAAATATGAACAAAGATATACAACAAATATACCACCAAAACAAAAAATTGATTACAAAATAAAAGAATGCATAAAACAATGTAAGGCCTCAGAATGAAAAATAAACTGATGTGTAAACATGTGTATAAGTAATAAATATCTCCTCAGAGTTGCGTATATTTCAATGATCAGCACTAATAACTAGTCTATTCTGTCAGACATCGTTGCGACTTATGCTTTACCCCGCGACTTATACCTATTGCATACTGTAGTTAAAAAGGACTCACTACAAGTAGCCAAAACCCAACCATCCCCATAATCAAAATTAGTAAAGCACCAATATTTTTTTGATGGTATGATATTAAAAGTGTAGATCTACTAAATAAAACAAAAATAAAAATAACTAAATAAATAATTTACCATACCACTGAAAGAAAACTTAAAAACACAATAAATTAAAATTCTAATAGAAACACAAAAATACTAATAAATTTATTTTTAAAAGATATAAAACCAAATAGGTACTTGTATATGTATGTATAAACCCAAGACAATTAGAAAGCATGTATAAACCCAAGACAATTAAAAAGCAATATTCCTCATTAAATTGTTTTTAAAATCAACAAAACAATAATAGTCATCAATAAACTCTAACGCTGTCATAGATGCCTATGTAAAATATGTTAACCAATCAAAAGTGTAAGAAACTGAGCAACCCGCGCAACCCAAAATTAATACAATTTTAAATTTTAATTTCTGAGATGGTTTTTATTTTTCTGGTATTTATGTTAATCTTCAAAACAACTTTAATATTATATACACAAAATTTTGATATAAAAGTATAAAAGTCTATAATAAATGTAGTATGTGTGTGTTTAATATTTAAATGTAGTATGTGTGTGTTTAATATTTAAATGTAGTATGTGTGTGTTTAATATTTAAATGTAGTATGTGTGTGTTTAATATTTAAATGTAGTATGTGTGTGTTTAATATTTAAATGTAGTATGTGTATGCTAAATAGTTAAATTTTGAAAAATCATCGAAGAATTTTATTGTAATATTGGTAAAGCAAGACAACCAAAAAAAAAAAAAAAATTAGACAATTTACCAGTAGTGTTACAACTCATCGGGAGTAAGTATTAATAAATTTAAAATAAATGTAAGTTGCCACTCATCAATGTCAGAGAATCAATATTTATAAGTTGCTACTTATCAATATCGGATTTATAGTACAAAAATTATTACCAGTAAACATCTCATCAGCCTCATCTTTTTTATCTAAATTTGTTGTAACAGTTATAAAGTTTGCACTAGAAAATTTATATACTTTTTTAGTCATTTTTAGTTACTTCTAATTTTTGTTGCGACAACTGACACTTTTAAATTTAAACAACAAACAAAGTAAACTGATTCTTTAGAATGGTTGCTCGTTACTTTTTAATTTTCAATATTTTAAAGTAAAAATAATACCATGTATTATTTATTTTTAGTTGTTAAAGAAATCTTATGGTGATATCAATAAAAAAGTTTGTGGAAATTTTCAATCAAAAAAAAAAAGTTAATAAAACTTTGAGCTAATAAAAATTTCAATTTAAAAATGTTAACGTAAATAATAAGTTTAAGGATGTGAGCAAGATTTGAAACAGACTATTTTGAATACGTATGACTATTAAGAATGTTTCTTGAAGGACCACCAAGTGAATGTTTTTTTAAAAAAGACTATAAAATCTGCATTAAATTTTTAGTTGACTAATTGCTATTGATGGAATCAGCTTTCACATAATTTCCATAAGTAAAACTTTATGATCAGTATTTTGTGCTCAGGGATATATATTTTTTATTTTGTGCTCAGGTTGTCACTAAAAGTCCTGAAACTTTTAATCTTTAGTCAATAAGTACTTTATGGTAGTCGAGAAGCAAGTACTTTGTAGTTCTATGGTAGTCGAGAAGCAAGTACTTTGTAGTTCTATGGTAATCGAGAAGCAAGTACTTTGTAGTTCTATGGTAGTCGAGAAGCAAGTACTTTGTAGTTCTATGGTAGTCGAGAAGCAAGTACTTTGTAGTTCTATGGTAGTCAAGAAGCAAGTACTTTGTAGTTCTATGGTAGTCGAGAAGCAAGTACTTTGTAGTTCTATGGTAGTCGAGAAACAAGTTCTTTGTAGTTCTATTGTAGTCGAGAAGTAAGTACTTTAAAATAAATGTAAAGATTAAGGCAAATGTAGTCTTACATTTGATTACTTCAGTAACAAAAGGAATAGAATATGAATCTAAATCTACATTGAAATGAGTTCAATCTCTTGAAATGTTTAAAATGCAAAGTACAATACTAGCAACAAAGGCCAATATATTGATCAGTTATTTGCCCAATTCATTAGATTTAAATTTTAGATTTTTTAGATTTAGATTTGAAATTTTAATGCAAAACTGTTATATTTTTAGGTTTAATTTTATTACTTTTAATTTTAGTAGTTGTTAAATGTTTAAAATACTTTAAAAAGTTTTTAATCAATATTTACAAATTGTGTAGTATTTTCAAAATAAACTTTATTTGAATAATTTTTGCCTATATATAATATAAATGATATATAAACAAAAAAATATTCTAATACAAAATATAAGTATGTAATAAGCTTGATTACTATTATTTTAGTTTTTATTTTAGTTTTAATATTTTCAATTTACTGTTTATTTAACTTTTACTAAAGGTATTAATACATTATAGTGAAATACATTATAGTGTAAAAGTATATATGTGTGTTTTATATATAAACTATAAGTGTATTTAGTACACAATACTAAATATATTATAGTGAAAAATAGTTTCATGCTTTAAATAAAAAGATAATTACAGTAAACTTAATGATTAATTATTTTTTTTAATCATTAAGTTTTATAATAAAAAATGATGTACATTAAATAAGTTACATTAACTATGGATTTTTTAAAATTAAAATTTATATTTAAAAATAACTAAAACTTAGTAAAACTTTTACTAAGTTATTATAATTGTTTTTTTTTATAATTTTTAATGTCAAAAAGTATATGAAGAGAAACAAAATTTCTGAAAAAGTTTAACTTTTTTTTTTTTTTGTTTTCTTAATGTAAAATAAAATAACAAGCTAAAGATCAAAAATTCATTAATTAAAAATTAAATTTGCACAATTACTATATTTTTGTTCATTTATTACTAAAAAAACTATTATCACTTAATTGTCAACAAGCAAAAGATAATTTTACTCTTGATGAATATTTTAAAACAGCTCTTTTGAAATATTTTAAATTAGATCTTTTGAAGTACAAATTTTTCATACATTCCATTGTCTTTAAAATATGTTTTGTAATAAGTTTTAGTTTCTTTTTTTAATTCTAACTTTTGGTTAGTAACCTAATGACAGTTTTAAATGTTAAACTAGTTATGGCATGTAGTTTTTATTCCGTTTTATTGCTCTGAAGAAAAAATAAACTAGCTAATATAAACCGAAATTTAGATGCTACTGCATTTAAAACTGCATTTATAACTGGAATTTTTTTTTCCCTTCTTTTTATAAAAAAAAAATAATGAATATTTCTGTGAGCTTTTTTTTTTGGGTGCCTATACCATTCTAGAGATACCAAACAGGTCTGGATTTGCCCCTGACTAATATTGGCCATTAATGATCTTTCAAACAGAGATTCTAATCTTTTTTTTTTCTGAAAAAACAAGATTGGTTGTCTAATACTAATCAAGCAACTATTTGAAAATAGAATCATTCAAAGATGAAAAGACTGTTTAATTAATCTAAAGAAGTACTTGTCGAATGTCTTGAAAACAATAACAAAAAAACACAACAAAAAAAGAAGGCCACCTTACCACTAATCTGATTCAGTTACTATTTTAGCCATCTGACAATAGCTTTGATATTGAGAAAATAAACACTCATAGTAAAACTGAAACTAATATAAATACATATACATAAAAAACGAGAAGTCTTTTACTTTAAAGAAGATAAAACATAAGAAGTCTGAGTTTTATTTAACTACTCAAACTTTGTTTGAACATTCAGACAATTTGTTTGAACAATTGTTTTGAACAATCAGACAATTTGTTTGAACAATCAAGACAATTTGTTTGAACAATCAAGACAATTTGTTTGAACAATCAAGACAATTAAGTGAAACTTGACATTTAGAAAATTGGATCAAACCTTGTTAAAATAGAAATAGCTCTAAAGCTGGCAAAGCTAAGCCCAAGTATATAGACCTAATTTTTAAAACTCTTCAAACAATTTCTCTTACATCAATAGAAACTGATTTTTTTTTTTTTTTTGTCATAGATTGCTTGCAACTTAAATAAGAAATTTTATTAGATGCATTGAATTTTTTTAAAGCAAATATAAAAATTTTTCATTGTTGTAATGTTTTTTTGTTCTTTTGAATGATTGAAAGTCAGGATCATCTGAAAAACCAGTTGCCAAGCTGGCTAGAGATCAAGTTAAAATTTTTGAGCTTTAGAGCTAGCAGGGTGGTAGAAAAGTCAAGCCATTCCATGTTATAAATATTATGTTAGTCACCAATATTGATTGATGAATAACAAACTTGGTTAATTTGATAAGGATCTTTATTAAAAAGAGTGTGGAAGAAAAAAAATAAAAATAACAAAAAAAGAAGTTGATTAAGTGATGTGTTGGTTAGCAAAATCATATAAAATTTTATTTAGAGAATATTAGGACAATTAGGTGAACTAATATGTAAGTTGATGACTGGTCTGAGCATATGGCTTTTAACCAGTTTGAGTATATGACTTTTAAAGTTATTTTGAATCAAAAGATAATAGCCAATAACACTGAGATCTGAAGATAAGTCAATCAATTTTAAAGATAACTCTTCAATAAATTACACTTAATAAACTAAACTTACAAAAAGAAAAAAAGAAAGTTAAAAGTCTTGTGAATTTTGCAAGAGGTAAGATTCAACTGATAGAAATTTACTACAATCATTTGAAAAATGTTTTAAACAATTTGATGGTATTAATGGTTTTTCTTTTAGTATATTTTTAGGTATTTTGTTCATGTTTTAAATTAATAAAAATTTTCATACAATCATAGACTATGTATGAAACCCTAAGCCGTACCTTACCTTTTCATACAATCATAGACTATGTATGAAACCCTAAGCCCTACCGTTACCTCATATCTTTCATTCTACACCTCCATACATACAAGTAACACCTCCATACATACAAGTAACAATGACTCCTTATGAGTTGCATTATTAAGATGACAATGAAAATGACAATACTTAATTAGATGCTTAATTAATTAGATAATTAACTTGGTGACTTTATTTATTGGTTCCTTAAAATCATATAAGTTTTTAAGTTTATCATCAATGATAAAACAGGGGGTGGGGTAAACTTTAATAAAAATATAAATAAAAACATTAAAATTAAATGTGGTTGTGGTGTAGTGATAGAGCGCTTGCCTCATAAGTGATAAGCTCCTAGTGTGATTCCCGTCATATCCCTAGTAGCACAGCGCTCAACTTGTTTCTTTGTACAGCGGCTTTGTTTGTCAAGGATTGTGTTTTTGAGTTATGGAGTTAAGAGAGGGTTGTAACCACAAATAAAAATAACCTCCTCGACTGTAGTGGCCTTCATGGCCTTGGTGAATTGAAATTGGTGAAAAAAAAAAAAAGTAATTTAATATTTATGTTTACCATTATAATAGTTTTATTATTATTATTAATATTCTAATTTTTAGTTAGCTTTATTTTAATTAATTATATTTTAAAGAGAAGATTACATTCGAGCCATCCGAGGACTTTTAAGAGAAATTGTTCGTACCTTAAAGTATGAAGTTAACATGGTTGAATTTTGCCGTAGTTTAATGCAGGAAAGATGTGATTCTACTTTCACTGATTTGGATCAAATTTATAAGGTATAATATTATCATCTTTTTTTTAATGCAATTTTACTTTTAATATAGATGTTGTTTGTTTTTATTTTTATCAGAAATTTTCATAATAATTATGATTAGGATCGAATTTTTTCATCTGTTATTGATCTAATATGTTTGGGATGTTTTTTGAGCATCTCTCCACAAGTTAAGGAGTTATCCAACCCCCATTCTCGAGAATTGAAAGGTAAGATCATTAAAAAATTAATGATAATAAAGAAAGCAAACACTCCTATGTCAATTTTTTATGAATTTCCATAGAAATATTTTCTCTTAAGTTTATCTCAATAAATTGAGATAAACTTAAGACATTCTATAATCTTCAATATAATATATATTTTGAATCCTAATGAAATATAATATATATTTTTTTACAATGGATATATATTTTAATTCTCAATAGTATAAATATTATTGAGCTTGAAAATATATATTCATTGAATTGACAAATTGTTTATATCTAAAATGAATATCTTTATTTTGTATTTTTGCTCTTTTAAATGCTAAAATTTGTTTTAAATTGTCATTCTATATTTGCTGTTTTATATTTTATTATTTCCACAATTTTTTTATGAAAATAACTAATAAGGTATTACCAAATAAATTTATTAATATTTTTTATGTTTCTATTAGAATTTTAATTTAAAATATTATCTAATAAGGATGAGTTCAAAAAAGATAGATTATCTATGAAAGAACAAAAATTTCCTAAAAAGTAATGTTTTCTCTACGGTCCGAATTAAAAGTAACTTTGAGACCATATCTAAATCGAAATTTCCGAAAATTAAAGTTTTCTCTACGGTCTGAATTAAATGTAATTTTGAGACCATAACAAAATAACATGGAAAAACATACATCCTCAAAACATGTCAAAAGCTGCTAGTTTGTTAAAATCGTTCTTATATTTATATATATATATATATATATATATATACATATGAATCCTTAAATGAAAAACTCAATCACACATGATAAACATATATGATAACATACAAATCTATATCTACATTTTAACCACATATTATCTATTAAAAGAAAATATTATCTAATAAAGATGAGTTCAAACAAAGATAGTTTATCTATGAAAGAACAAAAAGCATGTTAACGATGTAAACAGGCTGTATGTGCATAAGGGTGTATAGGTGTAATGTGTTGTAATTAAATAAATTAAAAAAATTTATAATAAAATAAAAGCAGTTTTAATTAGTTATTAATTTATTAATTTTTGTTTAATATTTAATTTACCATTATTTTAGTTAAATGTTTAAATTTTTTAATTTGAAAACAAGTTCTAATCAAGTACTAAAGATGAATCAAGTACTAGGTTCATCAATCCTTTTCAAAAGGTTTAGTGAATTTCACAACAGAAAGATTTTATGTAAACACCTGTTAATAGTGAAAATAATATTTTGTTTAAAAATATAACAAATAATGTTGTTGTTATTTACCACAATTTTTGGTGTAAGCAATGATGGCTGTGGTATTGTTTTCTGATGTTTTTATTTACCACAATTTTTGGTGTAAGTAATGGTGGCTGTGGTGTAAACAATGGTGGCTGTGGTTTTCTGATGTAGATTTTTATGTTTTTTTTTTTTTTTTTTTATTTGCATTCACTCCCAACAAGGCTGCAAGCAACCACTATTAAGTTGGGAGTTACTAGGAAAAAAAAGAACAGAGTTATAGAGAAAGGAAACGGTTGACAGATGACTTGAAAAGTTGAAGGTTGTATGAGTCTGGAAAGCATGAAGATGGGAGAGTTCCAAAGGATTGAAGTGCGGGGAAAAAAACTAGATGAATAAAAGTTTTTAGAGTATGCAGGGACAGAAACAGTAAACGAATGAGACTTAGCTAAATGACAAGTAAAACGAGAATGAATTTTAGTTGATGGGACTAGAGATGATAACTCCTTTGAGCAGTGACCATGATAGTATTTGTAGAAAAGAGAAAGAGATGCAACTTTACAACGATGGGAAAGAGGCTCAAGCTTAGCAGATAGTCCAGGTCCAACAACATTTACAATGCGTTTTTGGACCTTGTCAAGAAGAGAAAGTGAATCTTTAGAAGAACCAGCCCAAATATGACAACAGTATTCCATACAGGGACGAATAAGAGATTTGTAGAGGTAGAGAATGGAATCAGAAGTAAGAAAATGGCGAGCACGATAGAGAGAAGCAACCTTAGCAGAAGCTAATTTAGCAATCGATTGTATATATGGTTTCTATGAAAGGTCAGTAGCAAGCGATAATCCAAGAAGACGTAAAAAGGACGACTCAGTAAGAGGATTGCCATTCATTAATATAGGAATGTTGACCATATTACGGTAGTTGTTTGCAGTAAGCAACTGGGTTTTTTTAGAGTTGAAATTCACAAGCCACTGTGAACCCCAATCTATTACTGAAGTGAGATCGGATTCAAGATCAGCTGCTTGTTCTAGGCGATCAAAAAGAGAACACTTTTTGTCAAGACAGGAGTATAAAGTTGAGTCATCAGCAAAAAAAGCTACTTTAGATGAAAGGTTGTCAGGAAGATCGTTTATGTAGATAAGAAACAAAACAGGGCCCAGGATGGAATCTTGGGGAACCCCAGAAGTTACTGGAAATAAAGTTAGAAAGAAATGATTTGATAATCTCAAAAACTTTCCCAGAAACACCATATGAAGTAAGCTTATGGAGAAGACCAGCATGCCAAACTTTGTCGAAAGATTTAGATATGTTGAGAGCAATAGCCCTAGCCTCACCGCCTCCATCTAATGCGCGATAAAATCTTTCAGTTACAGCAGTTAGCAAGTCGGCCGTAGAGCGAGAGGATCGAAAACCGTATTGATTTTCTGACAGCAGTTTATTTGACTCAAGATGAGATGTGAGGAATTTGTTGATCAAAGACTCAAAGACCTTGCTAATAACAGAAAGAAGACTGATCGGACAATAATTGGAGGGGTCAAAATTTTCTCCAGAGTTTTTGAATATTGGAACCACAGATGCCATTTTCCAACAAGCAGGAAAACAAGACTCAGTCAAACACTTGTTAAATAGTTTAGAGAGAATTGAAGAAAGTTCTGGAGAACAATTCTGCAAGACTGTGACAAGAATGTTGTCTGGACCACAAGCTGTAGACAAGTTTAATTGAGATATGACTTTTGCAACAGAAGCCGGAGTGATTTGAATGTCTAACAATGGGTCAACCTGTTTGACTGTAATGGAAGGAAGAGAATGTCTATAAGATTCAAGAGTGGAATTAGAAGAAAAGTTCTTTGCAAATAGTTCTGCATTATCCTTGGGAGAGGTAATAAGATAGTCCCATGAATGAGAGATGGAATGTTAGATCTACCCTTGTTAATAATGCTGTTGAAGATTTTCCAAAAGTCGTTAGAGCCTAACTTCTGCGATTAAATACGAGATTTAGTGAGCTGAGAATAATGGAGTTTAGCATCAGAAAGCATCTTTTTACATCGATTTCTTGCAATAATAAATAGCCGTTTGTTCTCAAGAGAGTTGTTCTTTTGAAAAAGATGAAAAAAATGATTAGGATTGGATATAGCAGCCGCACAAGAAGGAGAAACCATGGAGTAGAATGAGGCTTGACTTGAAACCGACGCGAAGGAATAAAAGCTTCCATTTCAGCCTGAATCCAGGAGGTTACGTAGGAGGCGCATTTGTCAAGTGTATCATAAAACTTACATGACATTAATAAACATAAAAGTATAATTTTTTATATTTTTTTATCATTATATTTTAAATGAATTATCAGGGAATCATCATCATTAGGGTTTCGTCATCACCAAGGATTTGTTATCATCAGAAATTAGTCATTAAAAAAAAAGCATAATCATAATTATTGAAAATTTTTGTTTTAATTTCAAAATTTATCAGGTTTTTTAAAACTGTTGGATAAGTTCCTTTTCAATAGTTTAAATAACCTTTTATAATTGAAAAAATTATTTTTATATTATTTTTAGACTTGACAATTTTAAAAAATTTTCAAAAGAATATATCGATAATCCAGAGAGATGCAGTATGGTTTTTTCATACAAAAGTATTGCCAATGTATCGATGCAATGAAAAAGATTTTGTTTTAGGGTAATTGTTTTAAGTTGTTTTTTTTCCAGAAAACCAATAAGAGAGTTTAAGTCTGATATTTTAATGAATTTTTATAGGAAGAATGTTGAATGTGAATTGTGCTAATGTGATATTTTTATTTTAGGAAGAAAGTTGAAATTAATTTTTTTTTTTAAAGTTTCAAGTGGTTTAAAATACAGCAAAAAATAATAACTAATGATTTTATAAAAAAGCAACTTTAAAATGTTGTTTTTTAAAAGTATAACAAATATTAATTCCGTGTGCAAATTATTTTTTCTAATTATATACTATTTAAAGCAGCACAAAAAAAAAATTGCTCACACCGCATTTTGAAAATAAACTAAATAAATATGTTATATATGTATATATTATGTATAAAGTGTATATATATATATATATATACATATATATCACGGCTGTTTCAAACCGAGCTTAACGGCTTCTTGTTAATTTTTGAAAATATTGACTAAAGGGGTGTTACTAAAACTTTTATAACTTTTGAAATATAAGAGGTAATTTTGTTTTGTAAAAACAATTAAGACATCAATAAAATGTTTTACCTTATAACATTTAATGCATTAGTAGAAAAACTTCTTTTAGTTTAGAATAAATATGACATATATTGAATTTGGCTAAATTTTTGTAATTTGATGTTACTTTTTATCAAAAAAAAATTAGAAAAATATATTCCTAATAGTTATTATCAAATACACTTATTGTTTGACAATAATGAAAACAAAAAAACCTTACTTAATTATTTAAGGTTAACTAAAACAGCCTTAATCGAATTGTGAAAGCAAACCACATTTTTCGCAAAATTATGAAAAACGTTGTTATAAGGGGGGATTAGTTGTTAAATGAGTACTTTTTTTAATATAGAAGTTCTTGATTTAGAAAATTATTTTGGAACGCTGATAAAATCATTACATTACAAAATAAAGTTCTAATAATATGGTGTTAGGTAGTTAATAAATAAAAACTCATCAATTCTAATAAAATAATTCATGACCAAAATTGAGTTAAAGGTTTTGAATTAACCTAGCTTTTGGTAGTAGAATTATTTTATGGTACTTGTATCAATAATCTCTTCTCACAAAAAATAAAGTGTTTAAATATACACAAATAGCTGATTTAAATCTTTTGATAATTCGTTTTTATTTTCATTAAAAACTGTTTTATAATTAGTTTGTCCATTGATAAGTTCTTCAAGCAGTAAACTATCTTTGAACACCCAGATGATACTAGACTCATACATAATTCATTTAAAACCAGAAGAACATTTAGTCAACTTGGCAATTGTGATAATAAAGTTTACAACTTCTTAATTTATCAAGCTAAATTTTTACACCAACTTGATAAATGAGACTTATATTCCATTCTTTAACTAGAGAGGAGGTATGTAGAGCAGAAGTCCTGCGAAGGTAGAACTAACTTTTGATGATAAAAATTGAACGGAGATCTAATATATATAAAAAATGTTACATATTACATAACAAAGGATAAAACGTTTTTTGATTTAACTACATAAACATACAAAATCATATCCAACAAACATACCAGTTGCTCTGATCACAAATTAAAATAGTTAGCTATACATTTGATGCTAGACTTTTATTCCATTCTTTAACCTGAGCAAAGGCATTGCATAGATATAATAAACTTTTGAAAATAGGAACAGAATGGGCATCTACCTAATATATAAAATCATTGTAATAAAAAATTATTATTATTTTGAACAAACATTACAGGCATTAAAACAGAATAGAATTCTTTTATTTGTAAATTAAGGATCTTATATAATTTATCTTAGATGTAAAAAGTTTAATTTTTTTTTTAACTTTTCAAACATTTAAACTAAATTTGATGACCACAAACAAGACAAAGACCTTGTCTATAAAATGAATTTTCGCCACGCTCTGAACACACAACACACTTTCTCACCTTAGAGGCTTGAAGCTTCCTATCAGCTTTGCTGTGCAATTCAAAGCGTTTTAAAACAAGATGCAGCTTTTGCTCCTGATTTCTAACTGAATGCAACTGCCTTAATTCCTTATTTACGCTATTATGCAAACACTCTCCCTCCTCTTCACTCAGCAACCCAATAGTTTTATGCAATTTTACAAATAGTGGCACATTGAAAATGAGTTCATGCATTTTTCGCGTGATACTTTCTTTTGGAAAGCAAGCATGAAACTCAATAGCAAATAAATTTATATATTGATGAAGCTCAGAAATTTCGGCATCAGAAAGAAATTTTCGCTTAAAAAGAATAGGTTGCAAGTTATTAAAAACACTAAACACACGTACAAATCTATTTTTAATTGCTTCATCATCAATAACACTACAAAGTTTATAGTGGTTTCTTAATACTATTTTACAATGATTACCTACAAATACATTACCATGGTAAGCTTGTCGCTCAACTTTCATATCTTCAAGGGCCTTATAAAGAGACCTCTCATGAGTCCCCATGCTACTTATAGATATTTTTTCTAGGTCTTCACACTCTATCTGCAATCGAATATACTCAACGTCTAAAACTTCGCGCTGTGCGCGTATAAAAGAAATTTTTTCAGAAATATAAAGGTCAAGACATTCTAAATCTTCACCCTGACATGCTAAACACTCATACTTCTCTATATCACACAATACATTCTTTTCCGAACCACCAATAATTTCACAAAATTGATGGAACAATTTTTGGCACGTACCACACTGCACCCAATCAATGTTACAATCATATTTAGTAATTAAACACCTGATACTAGCACACTTTTCTTGCTGTTTACAGGTTTTTTTTTTATTGGAGGAGTTTAGAGATATGCATTCCAATTCAGAAATATTTTTATCAAAAGCTAACCAACGAGTCTGTAGATTTGCAACGTCTACAAATTGATTTCCTAATAAACGTAAAGAGTCTGCTGTTTTAGAACATTCAAAGCTTTTAGCAGCCCACAATTCATTCGTTCTCACATTCTCATTATGCGACAAAGACGAAACAGCTTGACAATCCAAAGTCTTACACTCCTTCAACAATAACTTATAAAGTTTTAACACAACTCCTAACATAATATGCAAAACAGGTGGCACTACATTATCTAAAGTTATTATGGGGAAAATCACAGGAGCAATAATTGAATTATGAAACTTACCTAGAGCTCTTAGGTTTCCACCTTGTCTATCTTCACACAAGTTCTCATTGTAAGCACTTTCCAGAGATTGTATTGTCCTCCTTAAGATGTTACAATTAGCAGGTGTGTGAGGCATAGAAGCATGGTTTCTTAGAGAATTCAACTTAACTAGGTCTGTAGAACTAGGAAAGCTAGCAGCTGAACCCTGGTGTCCCAGAACATCATCGATAAAATGAAAATCTCCACCTAAGAACAACCTGACTATTTTGCCTTTTAGCTTAAAATCTGACGACTGAATTCTTTTAATGTCGTTGGCATAATGCCCGAGAACTAAGGCAATATTCTCACAACAGTCTGAACCCTGATACATACAAAATAAATGAACATCATATACAGACCCTGATGATTTAGAATTGACAACTTCAAAATGGAATTTCATATACTTCCCACCCTTATCCCCAGCAAAAAGGAGCCATACCTCTTCGCAAAAACCGACATCAGAATTGAAGTGGTCACGAACGTGCAGACTATTGAAAACCTCTTCAATATAAGTTATCAAATTCTTGACCATCAATACAGGTACTAAACAAGGTGCTTCATTCGCAGATGGATAAAGCAACATGGACTTTACAGTAACATGTTCTTTACTAACATGCATTGTCCGCATTTCTTGTTCTTGTCTTATCTTGGGCTCAGATGGGAGAATCCTTGCACCAAGATTACACAGAATACGTCTTAGCCTACGGAATTCAGCCGTGGGCATCCTTAATTGGCTCTGCAGCTCTACAGCATCAGAAACACTTAACTGCCTAACTAAACCCAACTTATTTGCAACACAATGAAACATAGACTTTTCACAAGACACAGAATCACAAAACAACATAGACAAATCACTTTCCAAATCTGAACAAGCTAATAATCGAAGGAATATAAAAGCATGTTTAGATCGTCTAGCTGCAGCATGCCTACCTAACTTAGAATAAGATTTACCATCTCCTAACTTAATGTAAGTATATTTCTTACCAACTATTGGCTTTTTAACTGATATAGTCTGTGGATTACTTAATTTAAACCCACAGAATAATTCAGAGGAACCAATGTTGTCATAGTCTAAATAACTGCTAGCAAAATATTTGCAAATTTGGCAACTGTTCTTGTTTATATCACTGATTTTTGCATTTTTTTTTTCAAATTTAAATTTTTTTAGCAATCTTACATTTTTGGCACGAGCAGATGCAAATTTACGGTGTGCTGTTTTTAATTTTTTTTTTTTAAAAGTTGGAACTGCTCCTCCTGTTTTAGCCTAATACTCATAGTCTCTAATTGAGAACTTAATGAGTTACAATGTGCGTTGAGAGCCTTGTTTTTAGAATTTAAATATATAACTTCAGTTTCCAACTTTGATACCTGTATTTTTAAATTATCTATTTGCTCCACATTATTTTTTTCTTTAGAAATTAATTGTTCAACTTGACTACTTAGTTCTTTATTCCTATTTAAAATATAAAAATTATCTGCATCTGCTGATTTTTTTTGTTTTTTTGTTTGTGGAGCTGGAGACAGTTGCATTTTAAAAAATGCTTTGTTTTTTGAAGCTTCAAAATACTTTTTAGAATCTTTTTTTCTTTGTTTTATTTTTCGGCACATTTTATTTAACACATCAATATTAGGCATATTAAACTCAATTGGCAAAAGAAAACTTAAAAAAGTAAACAACGCTTTTGGATGAAAAACTGTTAATAAAATTGAAATCACATTGTTAGTAATCTTACTAGTGTCAATTACTCGCTTTACAAAATTAAAGTTATACTCATTTTCCCAACCATCTTCCCAACCGATGTACAGTTTCAAAATTTCCCTCTCAGTTGC